GCTGGTGTGGAGAAATTATTTCGAGACATGGAAGGCGTTTGAAAAGATATGCCGGTTTTGGCATCAGCATAACCTCCGCTGTCCCAATGATTGGCCTTTTATAGGTCCCTAAATTTCTGTCTTTGACTAAAATACATCCAATTTAGAGGGCTTTATGGCACGTAAATAACTCTCATTTTCAGACAATTTGACTGCCTGGCAAATTATTGTACAGAAAAAGAATGAGACTGGTGCATCCATTGCTTGTGAAATAATTAATTCTAGTAGCCCTACATGACCGACCAGATTTACAGATTAATAAATTCTGTGCCTCTTCTAGTCTCCTTTTGTGTTTTGTTCATTCATTGTCTTGATAAGAACAAAAACATCTTTGTTATTATTTCTTTACAAAAAATTTCATTTTAGTTCCTATGAAAAATAAAACAAAAACTTTTATCGATGGAAAAATAATATTTATTAAAAATAAATCAAAATGTAATATTACGAAAACTCTTATGATGAATGCCTTTAAAGAGTTTTAAAAAAAATTATAATAAAAAGAATAATACATATAAATCTATGTGAATAGTATATATGAATCTGGATGAATAGTATTTGAAATAGTGTCAATAAATAATAAACTAATGTTTTGATTTAATTTTTTTTTTTTGTTAATACATATAATTATAATACCTTAAATGCGTTTATGTAATTTTGAATTAAAAAAAAAACAAATTTATTAGTTAATATCCCAACCAAGAGATAAAAGGGCAATGGTACGAGGAATGCTAGAAAAATGTGTTCAATATTCCAAGTCTTGAGCTTGCACATTCCATTGGCATGTTTGAGAGACCTCAAAAGTCTCCTCCCTAGCCATTTTCTTCCACAAATAGGAAGATAAACACAAAACAAAAGAATCGTGGACAGATCGAGTAAATTATAAATTAGTCCTTCTAGTTTTTAAAAAATAAATTAGTCCCTCTAGTTTCAATAATTAATTATTTAATCTTTATATTTTTAAATCCATTTATAACTGGATCTTTTTTCTCCTTTTTAATTTTTTTATGAAATAAAAATAATAATAAGATTGATAAGGAAAAAAAACATTATGTGAAATAAAATAATATTAAATTAAGCATGATCAACCCTAGTTAAAAGATTAAATAATAATTTTTAAAATAAAATGGACTAATTAATTTATTTTTTAAAACTAGAGGGATTAAATTGTAATTTACTCGAAGAAAGCTGGCCCTCTCTGCCCCTTTCGACACGTTACGTAGAAAGACTAACACACATCTTCTAGAAATGCACTTAATTGATGCCACCAAAACACAACAAACAAGACTGGATAATGGGCTGCCTTAGATGTGACAGATTCCTTCTTATCAAAAGAATATCCAAACGTGGGTAATTAACCCTAAATTCGTATTAGGGTTTAGCCCAACTAGGGGACCAAAAAAAAAAAAATTGAGTTCCAATTTGGAGGGCCAACACCTTTAAAAAGCAAGATAAGGGTGAATGGCAACTCTATGATTCTAGTTCTAGCAGTCTAAGTTCAAGAGTGTTAGGATTGAATTGTTGTTTGAGTTTTCTGGTTTGAATAGTTGTTGGTTAATAAGTTAAGATAATTTTTTTAATTTATTTTTATATTTCTGATTTAGTTTAATTTTGTCTGTTTTGCAAAAGGTATTATGAGAATAAAAAAATAATAAGAAACAAATTTGGTGATTAATTTCAGTAATTTGATCTAAAAATCTTGCTAAGACTACGGATATGAAACTTAACCTATGTATAAAAATAAAATTAGCTCGATTATGAATATTTTGGTTTAAAAAATCTTATCAAAATGATAGGTTATAAATTTAGTACATACATAAAGACAAAGTTGGTTCAATTAGAAAAAATAATGATAGATTCGATAATTATCTTATTATATAATGATAGATTAAGCTATTAATTTTAGTTTTCATGTACCGATAGGTTAAATTGTTTATCGTGTGTATATTTATACAATTTAGATAGTATTTTTTGGGTTTTAATTAACTATAAAAATATTCAGATATGTTATTACGTATTAAAATGAAATCTTTTTTATTAAGTTTAAAATGGATATTCGAATTTAAATTAGTGTATTTATAAGAATTTATTTTTCTAAAACCAGACCTTTTTTAATTTGAACCTTAGCATGATAACACAGGAAAAAATATATCGTTTATCAACCAATCTAAGTCTCCAAAAATTCTTATTAATATATTAACATGTAAGTAAAATTAAGGTGTTTAATTATATAGAAGAATTGATTTACGTGCCAATAGCTTGGCTTTTTCAAGTAAAGACACAAAAAAGGTGTTAATCCATGTGGGGCAAGACAATTAGTCCCTTTCGTAATGCATTAAATCTTGTCTTGACGAAGAAGGAGAAGTTTTCTTGTCAATAATATTTAAAACTACATTCATTTTCTTATTGCATTGACATCACAGTTCTCAGCTTGATTGATTCTCTTACAACTTCAGATTAACAAAGTAGATTCCAATTCTTAAGAAAAGATAAAAAGGATGGTATTGATGTATATGCAATACCTAATTCTAATTAAAGTAAATTATAAATTGGTTTCTTTAGTTTAAAGAAGCACACTAATTACTAATTTTTGTTTTAAAAACTAATTATTAGTCTTCTTTTTTTTGTCAATTTTATACTCTTTTCTAGTTTATTTTGTTTTAAAAATAAATATTATAAAAAGATTGATGATAAAAAGAAAAAAGAAGATATTTTTTAGAATAGAGTGAGTAAATCAATTAGTTCCTCTTGTTTTAATAATTAATTATTGGGTATTGTTAAATCTATCATATATTTTGTTATTTTCATTTCTTTTTTGTTGTAAATTACTAACAAACTCTTATATCTAATTACTATCTGATCATTAACTTGATATGATATGATGGTAGTATATTAGTAATTTATAACAAAAATCTTAATTGGAATAACAAAATATATGATAGAGATTTAGCAATACCTTAATTATTGTTATTTTTCTATTCTTTACTCTTTTTTGTTTTGGTTTGAAAACTAGATATTATGAAAAAAATTGATGAGAAAATAAAATATTTTTTTGGAATAATTTAATATTAAATTAAGCATAATTAATATTGGTCAAAAAAACTAAATAATTAATCTTTAAAGAAAAAGACTAATTAATTTGTTTCTCAAAACTAAATGGACTAATTTATAATTTACTCTAACTAAACACCTTCGAATTATTTATGATGGATTTACGTACATGAAGTAGATTATCAAATAAGTTAAGATCACATGGAAGATTGGCAAATCAAAATGGATTAGTCAAAGACCAAATACGAAGAAAAAAATCAAGACAACTCAAGAGTTAAATTAAGTGAAAGGCACACCAAGACTATATACGACAATGTTTTATTTATTACTATTATTATTATTATTTTGTCCAAAATGTGATGTCAAAGTACTTTATTGATATAACTTATTAACTATTTTTTTTTTAACTCATACGTCTAAGGCTTTTATTAAAACTAATATATTAGGATTTAAATTCATAATTTCTTATTACAAGAGATCATTACCACTTGGATTACAAATTCTTTTTTATTAATATAATTTACCCATATTCACTTCTCACCTAGAACCCTATAATTAATTTGTGTTATTTTACAAGTGATTTAATTCTTAATTTAGAGATCTAACATAAATCAATACATTGATTTGGAACAACAAAAATATCAAGAAAACAAAATTTATTCCCAATTCTTTCACTTGGCTAATACATTGCAACTTTAAAAACAACAACATTAATTTTCCCAAATAAACATACATCAATGAAAATTACATGTTCCTCCATAATCCTCTTTTTATATTGTTTTGAGATGATTTTATAAACCTTTTTAATGCTTACCATCAATTTGAAATCTTGTTAATTGAGCTTGTTCTTGGTGTTATCACATAAGATTTTTTTTTAACATCTTAATAATTTTGAAATTCAAATTTTAAATGAAGATTATAAAAGAGATATTTATGCTGTGAATATGTAATTCTGAATATTAATAAATTATGTAAAATCAAAATCAGTGAGAAATTTAGATAGTAATTTGCTGACTATGTTTACAGGATATTATGAAATGAAACTAAAAAATTCAACACCTTGACCAACCATAATCCAAATCCAATGTATTAATCCAAATCACATGCTATTTCCATTAGCCTCCTTGCCTAACAAAAGCCTAATACCACCGGAAAGGAAAAAGATTAGATTATAATTAGTCCTTATAGTTCTTAGGAATGAATGAATTAGTTTTTTTCAAAAACTATTTCTTAAATCTTTTTTATATATTTTAAGTGCTTTTTTACGTTTTTTTAAAATAAAAAATAGTATGAAAAAAAGATTAAATAATTAATTTTTTAAAAAATATTTATTTATTTTTTAAAACTAAAAGGATTAATTTATAATTTAGTATGAGAAACGGTAGAAAAAAAGTTTTTTTTTTTTAAAAAAAAACTAAGAGATAAATTCACAAATATCTCCGCTCCAGGATCAGCCGCCATCCAGTCAAACCCACGAGTTTTGACCAAAACCTCCAGCCGATACACACATGGCTAAAAGTACTGTTTGATCCCTTTACTTATCTAATTTAGTCAAATCAGAACTATTACGTTAATTTTTGTCAAATCCACCCTTTTATTTTCAATTAGAGAGGTGATTCAGACCTTTTCATCCAACTCTCATTGCTCTGTTTTTAGTACTGTATTTAACCAAATCTAAGGTAAAGGGATTAATATCATCAAACGTAAAACTTATAAGGAATAAATGTGATTTTTATTTTAGTCAAGAACTCCCTTTACCTTCCTAGAAACCTCCCCATTGACAATAGTCCCTTACCTTGTTCAATACGTGACAATTTTCTCTTCTGCAGAACCACCGTCTCGCCTATATCATCACCAGCCTCCTCCTTTCTATCAAAAATTTCATCTCTCTCTTGTTTCACGTATTTTCCTTCATGGCTTCTTCTTCAGGGAGCTTAGACACATCGGGAAATTCGCACTCACAAAGCAGTAACAACTATTTTTCATTCAGTACTAATAGTTCTACTCACTACCCTTTCATGACTTCTTCTTCTTTTACCGATCTTCTTGCTTCAAATGACGAAGAACCCATTAATGATAACAAAAGTAACAGTAAGTTAGCTGATAGGATAGCTGAGAGAACTGGCTCTGGTGTGCCTAAGTTTAAGTCTATTCCTCCCCCTTCTTTGCCTCTATCTCCTCCTCCTATTTCTCCTTCTTCTTACTTTGCTATTCCTGCTGGTTTAAGCCCTGCTGAGCTCTTGGATTCGCCTGTCTTGTTAAACCCTTCTAATGTAAGTTTTTGTGTTACTTTTTGATGTTTTTGTCTAATGATTGGGTATAAAGACTTTTGCTTGATGCTAAAGTTTTGGGCTTTTTTGTGTGATCGAAGGTAGAGCTTGTTTTTTTGAAAAAAAAAATTGATGGGATTTTTATGCTGATGGGTTTTGTTTGTTTTTGATTGTGTTCAGATTTTGCCATCTCCAACAACTGGGACATTTCCAGCTCAGGCTTTTAATTGGAAGAGTAGTTCTGGTCATATCCAGCAAAATGTCAAGAAAGAAGACAAGAATTTCTCTGATTTCTCTTTCCAGCAACCAGCAAGGCCATCAGCAACTTCGTCAGCCATGTTTCAATCTTCAAACTCCACAATTCAGCCTGTAAGTATCAAGTTTTTGGTGATTTTTTCTCTGTTTTTGGTTATGTGAATATGTTGTTTGAACAGTTATTGAATTTGTTTGATTGGTAATTTCCAGGGACAGCAACAAACATGGGGTCATCAAGAAATGGTAAAGCAAGATGAGTTTGCTTCAGGGAAGAGTAGTGTGGTAAAAATGGAATACAATTCTAATTCCATGCAGAGGTTCTCCCCTGAAATTGCTGCAATTCAAACAAACCCTCAAAGCAATAATGGGTTCCAATCTGATTATGGCAATCAACCACAGCAGTATCAGTCTGTCAGGGAGCAGAGAAGATCAGATGATGGGTATAATTGGAGAAAGTATGGTCAAAAGCAAGTTAAAGGAAGTGAAAATCCAAGAAGTTATTACAAGTGCACATACCCCAATTGTCCAACAAAGAAGAAGGTTGAGAGGTCTTTAGATGGACAAATTACTGAGATAGTTTACAAGGGTAGTCATAACCATCCTAAACCTCAGTCTACTAGGAGATCATCATCAACAGGATCAACAGCTTCTAATCTTGCAATGATTCCAGCTCCTAACAGTAACTCCAATGATATTCAAGATCAGTCATATGTTACTCATGGCAGTGGACAAATGGACTCATCAGTTACCACACCTGAGAATTCAAATTCAATTGGGGATGATGATTTCGATTCACATAAGAGTAAATCAGGAGGTGGTGATGGATTTGATGAGGATGAACCTGAGGCCAAAAGATGGTAAGTTCTTGATTAATCAAGGAAATAAAAATTCAAAGCATATTAATTGTGTGCATGGTTTGCTTATTAAAGACAGGCCTTGGAATGTTTGATCTCGTTATTAATCTTAATCTGCTTGCTTATTTCAGGAAAAGAGAGGGTGAGAATGAAGGAATTTCAGCACCTGGCAGCAGAACAGTGAGAGAACCAAGAGTTGTGGTTCAAACCACCAGTGACATAGACATCCTTGATGATGGGTACAGGTGGAGGAAATACGGGCAGAAAGTGGTCAAGGGAAATCCAAATCCTAGGTAAAAAGCTCACTTTAAAGTCTGTTAAAAGATACTATTTGGCACAAAGTTTCTGAGATGAGAAAATTAAACTAATCTTGGGATTAATTAATGTAATCTTGTTTCAATTCCAAGCTTTAAAGGCTAAAGCTTTTTGGGATCAAAATCATGAACCCTCAATTCCTTTCTTTATATTTCATACTACTTTGTAATGTTATGAACTTGTTATTCTAAATTGGGTTTTAATTGTTGCTTTATAGGAGCTACTACAAGTGCACATTCCAAGGATGTCCTGTAAGAAAGCATGTTGAGAGAGCATCCCATGACCTCAGGGCAGTGATCACAACCTATGAAGGAAAGCACAACCATGATGTTCCTGCCGCTCGCGGCAGCGGCAGCCGGTCATTGCCAGATCCCAACAACAACAACAACAACAATGCAGCAATGGCAACGGCAATTAGGCCATCAGCTGTAAACCATGTTTCTGACAATTCCATGAACAACAACCCTATGAGGACTCAAACTCAAAGGGCGCCACCGACAGCAACATCCGAAGGTGACATGCCTTTTACCCTGGAGATGTTACAAAGTCCAGGAAGTTTTGGATTCTCCTCGGGATTTGGAAACCTGATGGGGTCTTACATGAATCAATCATCAACAGAAGAAGTTTTCTCAAGAGCCAAAAGAGAAATGGAAGTGGAAAGTTTTTGGTAGGAAACAAAACTACTACGAAAAAATCATCACACAGAAAGAATAAGGAAGTAATCATCAAGGTTCATTTCATTAATTGCCATTTTGTTTGTTTAATTTGTTTGCTGTATATTTCTTCCACTACGACAAGAGGGATTTGGTCTTGTATATTCCAAGTTGTATTTGATTTAGTTAGTGTAGGAGTTCTTGTTGTCTATCCATATCTAAACATATTTTTTATTTGGTTTGAGGCCTCTTTGCTACACTACATTGCAAACCTCAAATCAATTTTTTTTTGTATCCCATCATTGAATACACTATACTATTATCATTTGTTAATTTAATTTATTGAGCTTGAAGAATGAAACTCAAAAATTTGGATTTCATGTTCTCTAGGGCAAGTTAAGGATTTTTTACTCATTATGATAAAATTGAGAGTTTTTTCTATTTTGCGTCATGGATCATTAGTGGATTTAAAGAGTTTAGCTTTTAAAATCGGTTCAAATTACATATGATTTTACGTTGATTTAGCAATAGATTATTAAATAATCTAAAATTAATTCAAAAATATCTCCTAAAAGCCAAGAAACTCCAAAAAGATCTCCAAAAGAAGTGAAGAAAACAGTGTTATCTTTCTTTCTTAAGTTCGGCTTTTAAAATCGATTCAGATTATATATGATTTTACTGAATTTAAAAAGTTTAGCTTTCAAAATCGATTCAAATTACGTATGATTATATGTTGATTTAGTTTAAAAAGTGAGAATTTAATTTAAAATTAATTCAAAAATATCTCAGAAAAGCTAAGAAACTCCAAAAAGGTCTCCAAAAGAAGTTAAAAAAATAGTGTACATATCTTTTGTTCTTCCTCTGGTTTTGTCACATTCCTTCCTGCTAGTGCTTTTTGAACCAAATCTTACAGTGGGATGGGACCCATTACTCCGATGGGTCCCACAATCACAGGCCATGGATCTTCGATGGTCATGCATACGCCATTGGTTACGCTGGCTATGGAGGTTTGAATGAGTCAAAGAAGAAGGCTGGCTAGAGCCAGGAGGTTGCTTGCTGAACAAGTTGGTCAAAGTCAGCTCTTATATATTTTATTACACACTTGGATCCTTCCTGGTGGCTCCCCTTGTGGGCCCATTTTTTTACATCCTCCATGTCTGCGGTGTTGCCACTTGCCACCTTGTTCACACTCCTCCTTCGTTACCTTGTGCTTCTTTCGAGCCATGACTATGAAGGTTTGTTTATTTTATGGAAACTTCCATTTAGTCCCTGACGTATATATTCATTTTTAATTAGAAGAGAAATAGCTATAAAAAAAACTGGAAAATTACTTTGGAATTCATAAAAAAATAATGAAAATATATTCTACATGGGTTAGGACTACTTTTAATCCGTTCTTTTATTGATGTTCATTAACTGTTTTTAGATAAATATTCTAATATGTTCTTATGTAAAACCTTTTAAAGTTTTTTTATCTGTTTTTAAATTTTTAATTACACTTTATTAATTCTTTGTCATTATAGTCTATTTTTTGGATTATAAAAAAATTATTTTATCTAAACATCCTTTATTAAAATAAAAAAATTAAAATAAAAAAACCTTTAAAATCAAACGATCTGTGTGTTTCATTTTTTAAGTCTTTAAAAAAAAATTTATTTCAATCAAAGACATTTTAGTCAAAAAATTTCATGGCCGAAAAATTATTCGGAGTAATATATTTAATATTTTAAAAATAAAAAAGATATAATTAAAAACTTTAAAATAGATGGGAAACTAAATATATTATATAAGTTCAGATTGAGTTATTTATCTTCTTTTTTTTAACTATCTTTAAAATGATGGGTTTTTTTTTTTTTTTTTGCATAAAATGAGAAAATTTTTAAAATTAATGAAATAATCCAATTGAAAAAAGTAAGAAATATTTAGAATCTAACCATAAAATTTTCAAAATTAGCAGGATTTATGGGTTATAATTTTATTTTACAAGGATAATTCACACAATTAAATTGATATATTTAAGAACCAAATTTTTTTTCCATTTCACATGTCATTTTCTTGAATCCAAACCCAAAACAATAACATAGCATAAGAAACAAAAATAATTTCCCGTATAAATTTATTTGGATAAATGGGACAAATAAATAGTTTTGAAAGGATGTGAGATAGAGGGACAGTTTGCTTGATGGGCAATAGGCAATGGTCCACGCTGCCTATTCACCGACCGACCCAACAAGGCCGATATCTATCTCGTGTTCCCATCTCCGAGTGGTACTTTTCACTTCTTTCTTTATTACGTAGCCTATGTTTTGTACTTTTGTTTATTTTGTTTGATACCCCAAATTTTTATTCATTTCTCTATGGTTTAATGGCTACCATGATGGATTGAGATTGTAAAGAAATTGGCTTAGATAAGATTGCCAACAATATTATATGTATTTTGGTTGCCACCATCCAACTAGTTCGTTATCAATTGCAAAGGAATTCATGGGATGATTAAAGATGTTTGTTCATTTAATTGACCTTTTGAGTTTAAATCTCGAGATTGGTGCTGAAAAAAAAATCAATTTTTTCTGAATATACCAAACTGAAATTGAAGTATGTTTTTAAAATTATTTTTAAAAAATCAATCCGGATTGATCTGAAAAATACATTTACTGTCAAATAAAAAAAATTATTTAATTATTATAATAATAACACACAAGGGGACACTTGTTAGTGTTTCTAAGGAGTGTTAGTTTTTTTTTTCTTAAAAAAAAAAAAGCAATACGAGAGAAAAAAAATTGAGTCTAGGAAGAAATCTTTTTATCGATTTTGATGAATCTAGATGTAATTTTTTATTTTTTTTATACGTGTCTATCTCTTTTCTAAAAAATGAACTCATAAAAAAACTATTATATATTTATAATAATTACTTCTTGGGTTTTTTAAAATTTATCAATGCAAATGCTACTAGTTTGCTTCTTGTGAAAGAATTGGATATTTTTTACGGGAAAATTGATAGAAATTTGAACACAAGGACTTTGGATTTGGTTGCTTGATTGCTAAGTTCTGGTTCCAATTGATCTGAAAACAAGCTTTTAAAATTATTTGAAAAAAAAATCATCTCAATTAATATAGAAATTGATTTGAAAATATATTTATTGTTGAATATAAAAATATTTAACTATTATAATAGTAACACGCAAGGGGATGCTTGTTAGTGTTTCTAGAGGGAGTTAGTTAAAAAAAAAAACAAATAAATACAAGAAATTTTATATCATTTTGAAAATAACTATCAATGCTTACTCTATAGAAAGAGATAGATAAAAAAAGAAGAGAGCAATATGAGAAATAAAAAAAAAAAAAAAAATTGAATCTAGATAGAAATCTTTTTATCTCTTTGATAGATTCCGATGTAACTTTTTATTTTATTTTATTTTTTAGTATGTGTTTATAACTCTTCTAAAAAATAAGCTCGTGGAACAATTATTGTACATTTATAATAATCACTTTTCGAGTATTTTAAAATTTCTCAATGCAAATGCTATTAGTTTGCTTGTTGTGCAAGAATTGCAATTTTATTGGTATTTTTTATGGGAAAATTGATAGAAATCTGAACACAAAGGACTTTGGATTTGGTTGCTTAATTGCTAAGTTCTGGTTCCACTTGATCTGAAATAAAATAATTAAATATGAGAAACAAGAAATGCTTTGGGCATCATGCAATTTTTTGCATGACAAGGGAGTTTATTTAGATTAATTTCTTCAAGCACAATCTAAAAACAAATCCAAAACTTCATGTAAATCCATATCATAATCGAAAGTGAAATTACAAATTTTTTGAATGAAAGTATCATCGTAAAACTATAAGAACAAATCTAAAAATAAATCAAAGAGAGAAAAAAAAAAAAGAGAGATTGGATAATAAATATGTTACGTACGAGGACTCCAAATGCATGATTACAATAAAAGTTCTCTCTCTATATATATATTATAATATTTAAGAAGTAATTAGTACAAATTATTTTATAAAGAGAAATGAATATAAAAAGAAGAGAGAAATAAGAAAGAAAAATTTTAAAAAAAAGTTTGATCCAATATAAAAATCTTATTATCATTTTTTATAGATCCAAATATGATTTTTTTTGTGTGATTATTTTTTTTTAAATAGATTCATAGAATAATTATTATATCTATACACTAATTACTCCTATCATTCCGTATCTATGAAAAATTGTGGAAAATAAAATTGATGATATAATTCCACAACCAAAGTTGATTGAGGACTTTATTTTTTAAAATTAATTTGCAGCTTGTGGTCAACTTCAAGCCAAATATACCATGAAAGACAGAAAGGCACGAGGGGACAACATTTATCGTGTAATTTTTTTTTAAATCAATTGTTCTATAAAAAAAAATATTATTTTAAATTAAGAGAATTGAAAACAAATTAGTCAGTTTTTCACATAAAAATTTTTGTTTTTATGGTTTTTTTAGTAATTATTTTTTAAAAAAATAAATTTAGATGAAAATATTCTTATTAAGTCCTTATATAATTTTATCCCACTTATGTGTATCCTTTTTTTTTATTAAACGAATTTATAAAATAAATACCGTTAATTAGAAGTATTTTTTTAACATTTTTTTACATTAAAAATGTGATTAATTTTGTTTGAACACGAAGCAATAAAATTTAAATTTTTTTAATAAGTGCAACTTTATGAGTATTTTTTCTAAGTATTTTTATTTTATATTGAAAATATGATTAATTTTATTTAAAACGAAAATAATAAATTTAATTTTTTTTATAAGTATGATTTTATAATTCAAACTCTATGTATTAGTTAAAAATTCATCTGAAAAATAATTTATTTATTACTAAATTAACATTTATTGTTGTTAATTAGGAGTGTTTTAAAAATTTTCGAACACGATTCCTAATCGTATGCGAAAAGTTTTGAACATTTTCAAGTGGTCTTCCGTACATAATAAAGATCGAGGCAGAATCTTTCCATAATCCGGGATATAAATTCTAACCACTTCTTGTGCTTGGTTTGCGTGTAAACAGGCACATGCAAAGACTTATATTGCCCACTTTTGACGCACATTTACACTTCACATCATTGTCTACTTCACTTTTTGTCCTTTTCTTTCTTTTATGCAACTTAATGTCCAACAAGTTGGCATGGTTGAGAAATTCATATATCTTTAACCAATGCGATCACGATGATATTTAGTATTCTATCCAATATTCATTACTTACTAATCTCTTTATAATCTTTAATTATTTTGAGAAATTATTACTTTAAGTAAAAAATTTTAGATTCAAGTGTTTACGTATGTAAAATTTTTTTAGATAACCTGTCTTAATCTTAGACATCCGATAAAATAACAAGAGATTAATGTAAATATTTAAATTTAGGATATATCTTTAACTAATGTCATCATAATACGTAGGATTCTACCCAGTCATTCATTACTTACTAAACTCTCCATAATCCTCATTTATCTTGAGAAATTATTGCTTTAAGTAAATGCTTTTGGATTTCGAGTGTTTACGTATGTAAAAATTTCGTTAGGTAACTATCGTAATCTTATGCAATCGATAAAATAACAAAAGATTAACGTGAATCTTTAGGTCTAGGATATATCTTTAGCTAATGCCATAATGATATGTAAATGCTTTTGAATTCAAGTGTTTATGCATGTAAAATATTTTTTAAGTAATTGTCTTAATCTTATGCAATCGATAAAATAACAAGACATTAATATGAATCTTTAGGTCTAGAATATATCTTTAACCAATGCCATCATGATATGCAGGACTCTACCCAATCATTCATTACTTACTAAACTCTCCATAATCCTCATTTATTTTGAGAAATTATTGCTTTAAGTAAATGCTTTTGAATTCGAGTGTTTACGCATGTAAAAATTTCTTTAGGTAACTGTCTTAATCTTATACAACTAATAAAATAATAAAAGATTAATGCGAATTTTTAAATCTAGGATACCTTGGAGGATTAAAAAAAAAATTATTGCATAAGCAAGATAATAATGAGTACATTCTCATAAATTATGTGAGATTTATTTTAAAAATAACTTTATGAGGGTCGAAATTTTTTGAAAAACCATGAATTTAGCTTATATTGTTTCATCTCATATTAATGTAATATTGCAATCTTAACTAATCGGAATGATGGTCAAGAAGGATTTGAACTTAAAATCAATATTTAGAAAAATCTGTTCATCTAATCGTTATCCCTGATAGATATGAGAAAAGAGGTGCACTCTTATAATTGTATAATAAGAAAATTTAATCTTAATTGACATGTAAGAGAATTTGAGAATACTTATTGTGAAGTAGAAAAATACCCAAGTACTCCTCCATAAGTACCTACTACTCGGTACTCCATCCACTTTAAAGTAAGTCATGTATACTAATCGATGATCACTAATTACTATTAAAACTAATATGATTCAAGAGACTTAGAGAAATAAAAAATAATATATGAAAATAAAAATAAAAAATCATATCAATTTTAACCATGATTTTCAATCAGTATACGTAACTTATTTTAGATGATACAATACTAAGTGACGGGGATTCCTGAAACACTAGAGTATTTTCCACAAGATGAAATAATTACACACGTTTCGTCTAAAAAATACGATATATATCAAGATAAATTAGAGAAGTATTATATGGAAAAATATCTAATAATCTCTTATGCCACGATGAGTTTTATTTTTATGTGATAACGAGAGATTATTAGGTATATCTGGAGTTGTAATCCTTTTATTTAAAAATATAAAATCCCTCGTGAAAATTATTCATAGATTGTAGAGTGAATAATTGTAGTACAATAGTACATCTACTAATTTATCAAATTTCCAAAACCCTCATGAGACGGCCCAATAGGCCAATTTAAACTGAGTCAGGTCCACTAACAATCAGCAAACCAAACCAAACCCAGCCCAGCCCATCAAAAATCAAAATAACCATTTCCCGCAAACTACCTTAACGGTCACGCTACGTCATCACCCAACTTGCCACTGAAAAACAGCCACCTGCCCCTCTGTACCCCACTATAAGCATCCTTATTCCCGTTTTACCCTTCAATCCGTCTCATATTTTCAAACTCCACCATTCCGGCAGAAAATCTCTCTCTAATGGACCTCTCAAAACACCTCTTAATAAAATCCACTCTCGTACGCCTCCTCTCTTTTCTCGTTTTAATCTTCGCCGTCCGTTTCGCTTACTATATAGCAGTCAAAGGTGGATCCTGCGTCTCTAATGACTTCTGCTTCTTTCCCCCGCAAAACCTCGACTCCACCAACCACCACCACCCTGTCACCACCACCGCAGCCGCCACCTCCCGTCGCACCATCAACCATTACCTCTCCGTCTTCCAAGACCTCATTGTCGACGGCTACCTCTCGCCGAACTCAAAATCTCTCTGTATCGAAACCATAACTGGAGAAGAAATCATCGCTTTGAAAGAAATCGGCGTTGCTAATTCCGTCGGAATCTCAAAGAAATCAAAGAAAGTGAAGAAATATCCACCGTTGATTTTATCAAACTATTCTCTACCCTTCGATGATAATACTTTTGATTTCCAGTTCACTAACAATCTCGACCGGTCGGGTCAACCCGATGAATTCGGGTCGGAGCTTTGTCGGACTCTAAAACCGGGCGGGTTTTTAGTGATCCATACAAAATCAAGAGATTTATATAGCTTACAATCTTTACTTGATTTGTTTAATTGCTGTGGATTAATCAGATCACGGGAAATCAACGGTGTAGATTCAATGCTGCTGATGATAATTAGAGAGGTTGTGTTAATGAAAGCAAGAAATTTTTCATGGAGTGGCAATGTAGGTAGAAACTGCTCAGTTTCCGGGGTAAAAAAGGAGCTAGCGAAAAATGCTGAGGCTTTGATCCGTAAAGAACCGATGAAGCCATGGATTACACTGAAGAGAAATTTGAAGAATGTTAAGTACTTAAGTGATAATGTTGATATTAGTTTCAAGAGAAAATATGTTTACGTTGATGTTGGTGCTAGGAGTTATGGTTCAAGTATAGGCAGTTGTTTCCGAAAAAGTTATCCGAAACAGAATAAGAGCTTCGAAGTTTATGCGATTGAAGCTGATAAGGCGTTTTTCGAGGAATACAGATCGAAAAAGGGTGTTACGCTATTGCCTTACGCAGCATGGGTGAGGAATGAGACCTTGTTTTTTGGGATTAATAGGGAAGTTAACAAGAAATTCGTTGAGAAAGGCAGGGGAATGTGGAGGATTCAACCGGTGCAATCTTCGATGGGTTATATGGGAGATTTTGATAAGATTGAGGGGTTTGATTTCGCAGAGTGGTTGAAAAACTTGGTGGTGGAGAGGGATTTTGTTGTTGTGAAAATGGATGTTGAAGGGACTGAGTTTCATTTGATTCCGAGGTTGGTTGAGACGGGTGCGATTTGTTTGATTGATGAGTTGTTTTTGGAGTGTCATTACAATCGGTGGCAGAGGTGTTGTCCGGGGCAACGAAGTGTTAAGTATCGGAAAACTTATGATCAATGCTTGCAGCTTTTTAGTTCCCTTAGAGGAAGTGGAGTTCTTGTGCATCAGTGGTGGTAACTGGTACGTAAAAGTCTGCATTTTCTGTTTTGTTCTGATAGGTTGTTCTTAGTTTTTGCAGTGACGAAATTATAGATTCTTGTGTTTTTTCTGGACTGTATTCTTGAATTGTTATACCTGTGAATACAGCATTCAAGGAAAAAGTTCGTTCTTTTTCAAATTGTACTTGAGATTGGTTTTAGGATAAAAGGATTCCAACAATATTCTATATTCATAACCCCAGATTTTTTTTTGTTGTTGATGAAAATATAACTCCAGAATTGGAATTCTTGGGAATTCTGTTTTGAATGGTAAAATTGGATATTTCTGCTGCTTTTCCTTTACATTCAATTTGTTACAAAACATAAAACTTTAATCAGAATTGCAACTTTTTGTATTTAAACTGATTTCTTCCTGCCGAAATTTGATGCAACAATTTGCAAGTTGCATAAATCATACTTTGTTTCATAGCTATCAGTAGTTTTTTCAGGTTCTGCACCAAAGAAAACCATCAGATTTTCAGCAAAAACTTTGTTGATGGCCAAATCTATGAAAGAAGCAAAAATTGCATGATCTTAGACCAGGTTGTAAAATATCTTCTTTGCCAGATATCCACATTGACCTCTTTAGCTTCCATTTGGCATTGAACCAATGAACCATGGAAAGACCTAGGAGCAACTGCCCTTTTAGTTTCTTTCAGAGGTTAATAACGTAAGAAATATGAACCACAAAGCTAAATTCTTGCTTTCTTCTCTCTCTCTCTCTCAAGACTCCCTCTCAGCCATCCATTTCCTATTTTTGTCAAATGGGTTCTCAGATCTCCTATCCCCCCTCTTCATTCTATTTCTTTTTTCACATTTTCTTTACCCAAAAGCCTCTGAGACCCCTTATCTTTCAATTAAAAACAATGTCACAGACAAATAATTCATCTATGCAACTTCAGAACCCTGCAACATCTCCTTCCGATGAAGACGTTAGAGTTGGAGTTGATGTTGTTTGTCAGGTTGTAGGTATGATTAACTCAAAAGGACTCTGGTTTGGTGATGACCTTTTAGAGTACACTTTACCTCTCTTGCTGCTACAGCTTTCTCTTATTTCTATCGTCACGCGTTCCATTTACATCTTTCTCAAGCCCCTTGGCCAGCCTTCTGTTGTTTCTCATATTCTTGTAAGTTCCTCTCTCTTGCAAATTATTTCTTGATATATCACTATGAAGTGGAAGGTTACTCTGATCGTACATGGTTGATAATTTGCGTTCATCAGGGTGGTGTAATTCTAGGTCCTTCAATTCTTGGGCATAACTTGTCATTTACAGATAAAATCTTCCCACCTGAAGGAAGAACCGCACTTGAGACCTTGTCAGTCTTTGGTTTCATGCTGTTTATCTTCCAGATTGGGGTGAAGATAGACCCTTCCATCATTTTGAAATCAGGTAAACGAGCACTGGCTGTAGGAATTTTTGGCTTCTGCATTCCTTTTGCACTGGCTTCAGCTTTCAGATTAATCCTATGCCATTCTCTCTCACTGGACGATGCTACGTGCCATGTGCTTCAGCTAGTGGTATTAATGCAGTCCGTTACAGCCTTCCCAGTTATTGCAATCTTTCTTGCTGAGTTTAAGATACTCAATTCTGAGATTGGACGACTTGCAAGCTCTTCGTCAATGATATGTGACATTTGCTTTTGGTCCCTAATGTCGGTAATCTACGTGGCAGACGTAGCTAAAGAAGAATCAATGCAATCGGCAATTGGCTCTATTCTATCAGTTGTATTCCTTGTTTGTCTTTTGGTATTTGGCATCCGTCCAGCAGCTTTGTGGGCAATTCGAAATACTCCAGAAGGAGAACCAGTGAAAGATGTTTATATCTTTGTGGTCTTTGTTGCATTAATGAGCTTCGGATTTCTTGGTGAAGTTATTGGAATAAATTCGCTTATCTCATGTTTCCTTCTGGGTTTGATCATACCAGATGGACCACCATTAGGAGCAGCAATAGTAGATAGGCTTGACTGCTTTGTATCAGCATTGCTCATGCCCATCTTTTTCACCCTATGTGGATTAAAGACTGATGTCTTTACCATTCAGAAATGGAAGACCGTGGGCGTAATTCTATTGGTTTTTTTCATTGGTTTCTTGGGAAAAATTATTGGCACAATGCTACCTCCTCTCTTCTGCAGAATGCCATTTCGAGATGCCCTTGCTCTAGGTCTTATCATGAACTCCAGAGGCATTTTTGAACTTGTCCTGTTGAATGATTGGAAGACAAAAAGTGTAAGCCAACTGGTACTTAATTCCTTCTGACTTGGTTTTAATGCTTTTGAACTCTAATTAGACGCAAATTTCCCTTTGGTTAATTTTTCATTCTGAGGGCGTAACTTTTCTGACTAGTTAAACATAAATGATATTATAAGCTAGCTTGGCAGAACTTGCAAAAATATTGTTGCTGGGGACCTAGATGGTTGCTTTTATTTGCTTAATCAATAGAGATAGTTGCATTAATGTGCAGGCCATGACCGATGAATGCTTCGCCATTATGATTCTCTCCCTGGTGGTTTTAACAGGAGTAATCTCACCTCTTGTGAAAGCTCTTTATGATCCTTCAAGGAGGTTTCTGGCTTACAGGAGGAGGACTCTATGCCACCATCGAAGCAACGAAGAACTACGGATGCTTGCTTGTGTCCTTAGCCAAGACAATGTCCGAACAATTATCAACCTTCTCGATGTCTCCAACCACACCAACGATAATCCTATTGGTTTATATGTCCTCCACCTGATTGAGCTTGTTGGACGGGCTTCCTCTCTAATGATTGCTCACCTTCCACGTGAAAAACCTCCTAAATACCCTACTGAGTCGGCACAAATCTTCAACGCATTTAAAAAGTTTGAACAAGAAAATCAGAGTCATGTTGCTGTGCATTGCTATAAAAGCATTTCGCCTTCTGAAACTATGCACAACGATGTGTGCTCCCTTGCCTTAGAACATAGAATATCTTTTATAATTATTCCTTTTTACAATCAAAGCATAAATGGGAGAATCGCAAACTCATTTCATGCATATAGGCACCTGAACAAGAATGTGCTTGACAAGGCTCCATGTTCAGTTGGGGTACTTGTCGATCGTGGGAACCTGAGGAAATCCCAATTTGTTCTTGCAGAGTCTTTACCTTATCGAATCGCTGTGCTATTCTTCGGCGGTGCAGATGACAGAGAAGCACTAGCTTATGCTGTGCTTATGTCAAAGAATCCTCGCGTATCAGTCACTCTTCTACAAATCACAACAGTATCAGCTTCTGAGGGTACTGAAATTTCTGGTGCCACAGCAAGGAGCAAGCTACTTGACTCTGATCTATTAGATGAATACAAGTTGAAAACTGAACAGAGCGAGCGTGTTTCTTACCTGGAGGAGGTAGTTATGGACAGCGAAGGTGTTCTTGATGTGATTAAATCAATGGAGAATGCTTACGATCTTGTTATGGTTGGGAAGCGACATGGAGAGTCAGAGTTGATGTCTAACCTTGGGAAATGGAATGAACATATAGATTTAGGGACAGTAGGAGAGATACTTGCTGCAACAGATTCTAAGCTAGGAGCTTCTGTTTTGGTGGTTCAACAACAGACTAGAGTTTGGGGTTTGCGCAACGCAGAGGACTCATCGCTACTGAGAAGAGTAAAAGATGATGTTCCAGGAGTTCCTAATTGCAATGACTATACGGTTTGATTTTTTTATTTTTTATTTTTTAACCGAATCTGCAAGAACCAGCTTTATAAGTTTTGGTATATATCTTCCTTTCTTCTGTTCTTGACACTTTTTCAGGGATTTTGAGTTAATATATATTAGCTAATATTAAGTTGGATGTCTACATTGTTCTGTTCATCTTCATTTTTCGTACAAATTCTCAGCTCGACAGAGAAATTATGAGAATTTCTGTCAAAGTCACATGCTTCTATATCTTCTGTGCTGGGTAGAGAAAAAGTGATGCATGAAAATTTTCTTAACCAAAGGTTACTGCAACAAATGCTGCACACTACTAAAGTGCCTGTTGACATAAAATTTTTCTGAGTGTGGGAACTACCAGCACTGCCTAGGGCTCGACCCTGGACTGTGAGTGCGGTGCAACGGGAACGTTGAGGGGCGTGTCACTAACATCAGCAGTACTGAATCTGCAACAAGCAGCTTTTCAAGCTTTTGTATCTTCCTTTATATTTTCCCCCTATTTTATGATTTATAAAATGATGGTACTTCTTAATAGGGATGGCAATTTGCCCCGGCTCAACGGAGCGCCATCCCGGTCAACACAAGGATTCCTTGAGTTGATTGAGGAATGGGATGAGACGCCCCAACCAGTATTTAGTTTGAATAGTGATGGGGCGGGGATGGTATTTGCCTGCCCTGCCCTGTTTGCCCCTCTCCATTCTTGAAATTATAATTATACCATATATAAAATCTGTGACTATTAACTTTTAGAGTTTATTTTCTATATAAACAATTAATTTTTTTCTATAGTTTGAAATTTGGTAATAGAATGAGATAGGACGAGGCTAAAATAAAAAATTAAACAAAGTATTGATGCCTGCGGTGATCCCTGTCCTTGTTTGACGTAGGAATGGTACGAGAAATATTGTTCCGCGCAAGGCACGAGGCGAGGATGGGGTAAAATTTTCAGGAGCGAGGCAGGGTTGGGCCCATCCTCAAATGTTGATTTCTTCAGCATTCTGTTCTTTATCTTCATTCTTGCGGCAGTGATTTTCAACAAAGCAGGAGCCCGGAAGTGAAACGGAAATCCTATGTTCAGCCTATTTTTACTCTAAAGAATAACCATATTTAAAAAGATCTACCTGTACAGCATTCATAGTCTCTAACGAAGTCCTTGAAGTTTCTGGCCATGGATTTTAAGGTTTCACTGTCGAAGAAAAAACGAAGAACAAAACAGTAATGACAACAAAACACTGTTACAAACTTACAATTCCATGTATAGCAGAAACAAAAAATTTTTGTCAAGTCAAAGGCATTTGATAAATTCATAAGAGAATAGACCTGCTGCGGCCAAATTAATGTTTTTCCAACAGAAAAACAAAAAAAATTCATGCCATACACAAAAACGAAACCAACTGCCCAAGCATGCATTTCCATTTTCTGTTGCAGTTATTTGCATACAGATGGGAAGCCTTATTTACGATGATTCTTAATCATCTTTGAAAGGTCACTTCTTTTTCACTTTGAACAGGCTAGATTCTATTTATAGCTCCTGATAACAGAAACAAAAAGTCAAGAAGAAAGTTGTTATACTATCGGTAGCCATTTTTTTCAACTTCATTAGCTACATCTCTTCATCTTTGTCTAGGTATATTCATTTCTCTGGCTAAAGGTGGACACCGTCAAGACCACCATCGATGGTGATTTATGCGCCACCTGCAGCCATCATATATGGCAATTTAACAACAATAAAAAGGCTGAAATAAAAAAATTCATCCAGAATTTGTGTTGGTTTACCCCCAAGAATCAATTCCAATGGTATTTGGAATGGGGGTAAAGATCCAATAACGGATTACGGAATGCCAGGACTTGAGATTCAGATGGTTTTCTTTTTGCCATCACAGAAGCTATACATCAGATTCTCAAGCGTTTTGGACTCCCAAAGTTTGTCTCTCAGATTATTGTATGTGTTATCTCTTCCGCCTCCTTTTCCTGTTTCTCACCTCTTGTCATATATGCTTATTATTACTTCATCCTCATTTATCAACAGCATTTTCATTTATCCAGTAATAAGAGTTAATTTTGTTAAACTTGATTGGGATGCAATGGTAATGTAGGCTGGGATACAATGCTTGATTCTGAGGAGTTGAAGGATGTTAAGCAAAACAGTATCGGAGAGCAAGATGTGAGATGCTTAGAGAAGTTTGTGGAAGATGGAACCCAGACAGCATCAATAATATCTTCAGTGCTGAATGAATATGAGCTTATTATAGTTGGCAGACGGCATGGCATATCTTCTCCACTGACTTTAGGGTTAGCAGACCGGACTGAATTCCCAAAACTAGGGCCGGTTGGAGACTTCCTTGCGTTGAGTGACAGAAACATCAAAGCTTCAATCTTAGTAGTACAGCAACAACAGCTGAGTTAGCAATTAGCATGGATTAGGAAATATGTGGCATGTAAACCTTATAGCAGAGATTTCGTTTTGCAAGTTCAACTATGTTTCATGATCATTTGTTCCGAAAACAAGAACAAGAAAAGATGCATATTCATGCACTTGCTGTGCTGTGCTGCTGCTTCTAGTAACCACAAGCTAAAAATGGAAAAAGAACTGGTAAGAAGGCCTAGAATGTAGCATATGCATTTTAGGTTGTATAAACCACATATAACTAACATACTATAGTTGCCCTGATCTCTTCTACACCTGTCAAACGAAAACTCGGTCGACCACTTGACAGGATTCTGTTATTAATCGATAAAATACAAGAAATTAACAGCTGACAGCATTCTTGCATTTTACAAACTGAAGATATTGCCTAATATTTTTAACAGGATCCTTAGGACACCTTAATTTACTATGTTCTATGAGGACACTTCAGGCATAACTTCTGCATCCTGTACAATTTTGCCAGACACAAATCCTGCTAAAAATCATTTTTTTTTTTAACTTTTATGGTTTGAAATTGTGATTTACATCATGAAGTATAATCCCTTTTCCAATATTAGTCTAATATTTATTAATTCTATTGAAAGAATTTCTCTGATTTTCTTTATCTGTGGTTTATAATTCATATGTTGTCCTGTCATAAAACACAAACATTAATCCACAAAAATGTTTCCGTATCATATTTTTTGTGGCTAAAAAGTAGGTCAGAGAATAGAGGATAAAATTTTTCCTCTAGTAGCAAAAAAATTTTGACCAAGAAGAACTAGATCAACTGACTCCTGATGGCCAGTGATCTCAGGGTCTCAAAACACAAGAGACATTAGCACAGCCGCACAATCCTCCGGTATAGGAAAAGGCTATCAGAATTGTAAAATTCTATTCTTTTAATCCTAATCCTAGGTGTTTCAATGGCTGCAATTCTCCTTCCAATTTCTTCGAATCACCTCTAGCTAGGTTGCAATATTTTTTGATGAATCCATTGATCCTTACAAACTAAAAATGGGGTTCTGAGAGGACTCTTCTGGCCAAACTTCAGAAACCTATACCATATTGCCAGATGCGTGTCCTGGTTAGATTCAAATTTACTTAACCTATGGTCTGAACTTTTGATGCACACCATGAAAAATACTCCTCCTTCTAATATTTATTAATGCTACTTAAAGAATTTATCTTATTTTCTCTATCTGTGGTTTGATAAATTATAAGATGTCCTGCCATAGAACAGAAAAATTTTGTCCACATAAATCTGTCTGTACCACATTTTTGTAGCTAACAAGTAGACCACATAATAGAGGATAAAACGTTTTTGGCCAAGAAGCATATAGAAGAACCAAGTCAACTGACCACTGATTGCCATTGGTGTTAGGGTCTATAAATTCAAGAGGCATTAGCACACCCGCATTATCCTCCTGTCCATGTATTTCTCTGATCCTTACAAGACCTTCAAACCCCTTTGGACCATGCAAAGCTTGATTTTCTTCTTTGCTCTTTAGAATCCTTTGACACCCTTCTATTTTCTTTACAGTTTACAGGCACGGCTATCTAGACAAAACTAGAACTTGTTTTTATTGTGAGATTAAAAATGAATGCATCAGCACTTGAAATTGTTTGGGTGTGCCAAGGGCCAAATAGTATGCGCTCGAAAGGGTTTTTTCATGGTGACAGCCCATTTGACCATGCAACTCCTACAGTTCTGGCTCAACTCAGCTTATCTTCTTTACTCAGTGTCTTAATGCAATACATTCTCAGCCCACTTGGTGAAAGTGCTTTCATTTCAATGATGCTGGTACACTTCTTTTTATTTTCCTGAAAAAAGAATCTAAAATCTTGTTCTAACAATCCTAATACAATTCATTTCTGAGCTCGTTGCGGTTTCGTCAGGTATGTAACTCAGTTTATGTCTTTAATATCATCAGGTAGGATTTATGCTGGGACCAACTCTTTGGGGAGATAATAATTCATTCTTGTCATCTGTGTATTCAAAGAAAAGCATCCATGTCAGTGGGACATTTGCTTTCTTTGGAAGTGCTCTTTACATGTTTATGATTGGTATAAAAATGGACATGGGAATGATGAAGAGATCAGGAAAGAAAGCTGGGGTTATAGGCTTCCTTACCTTCTTGTTTCCGATAACACTGAACTTAATTGTGGTTGAAATTCTAACCAGCAGTATGGAAATGGGACCAGCTCTACATGATTCGGTTTATTACATTGCAGTTTTTCAATCTGTTACCACCTTTCATGTCATTGTCTCCCTTTTGGCTGATCTGAAGCTCCTAAACTCAGAGGTTGGCCAGTTAGCAATATCTTCATCAATGGTCAGTGGTGCATTTAGTTGGGGCCTGGTTATTTGCCTTTTAATCATAAGGCGAGGGTCCATACAAAGAACCGATGTGCTGATGTTGGAGTTATTCTGTTCTTTTTTTATGGCGGTACTCGTAATCTTTGTATTAAGGCCCCTTATGGTCTGGATGATTCAAAAAACTCCTGAAGGGAAACCGGTCAAAGAGGGATATATTTTCTCCATCTTTCTCATGCTATTAGTTTGTGCATTCACCAGTGAATTTTTAGGGCGTCATGTGCTACTCGGAGCTGCTGTTTTAGGCATAGTTGTACCGCATGGGCCTCCATTAGGATCAGCATTAGTGAACAAGATTGAATCATTTGTTTCTTCCATTCTTATGCCGAGCTATTTTGTGTTCAGTGTTGCAGGCATCGACCTACTTTCGATACATTGCGAAAAGGTTATTGTTATCAGTGTTCTTGGTTTAAGTAGCTTCATTGGGAAAGTTTTGGGTGGCATGTTGCCTGCACTCCACTTCAAAATACCACCTGGTGAAGCATTTCTATTAGGCCTTGTAATGAGTTCTCAAGGCGTTTCTGATGTCCTGCTCTTACAGCATGGCAGAATCCTCCATGTAATGACCTTATCCTCTGTTTATCCTATTCTGTTGAGTTTTCTGCATATGAATTCTCTTACTTCTTGTTGATTACCGCCGCATATTGTGCCGAAACTAACATGGTTTTGCTTGTTGCAGCTTCTCGACCGTCAAATGTACAGTATCATGGTCATAAACATGGTTTTTCTGTCAGGAACCTTCACACCTGTAATCAAATTACTCTATGATAAATCCAGGCATAATGAATCCTTCAATAAAAGAACGATCCAACATACTGGTCTCGATATGGAATTTCGCATCATGACCTGCATATACCATCAGGATTCCACCCCTTGTATCATTAGACTTCTTGAAGTTTCCAATCCAACAGCCAGGACTCCCATGTGCTGTTACGTAGTCCACCAGGTCCAGCTTGCTGGCAGTTTAACCCCTCTCCTCGTGTATCACAAGCCTGGAATGAATGCAAAATGTAAGATTAAGGGTTCCAGCCATATCATAAATGCCTTCAGATCGTACGAGCAACAGAACAATGGTAATGTTATTGTCAACTTATTCACATCCATTTCGCCTTTCGCTACCATACACGAGGAAATTTGTAGGCTTGCTGTAGAGAAGAGAACATCCGTGGTGATTATCCCATTTCACAGGCAATGGAGACTTCATGGCATACAAGAAATTGCAGAAGCCAGGTCAGTTAATCGTCACATACTGGCAAAGGCTCCATGCTCAGTAGGGATCCTTGTCGATCGAGGCACCTTAAGTGCCTCAAAAAACCATAATATATACGACATTGGAGTTATTTTTGCTCATGGGAGAGATGACAGGGAAGCATTAGCATATGGTTTGCGAATGGCTCAACACCCTAAAGTTGCTCTCACCGTGATCCATTTGATCGATCCTGACAGGACATCCAAGCCTTCTCTTGATATGGAGCTTGACAATGACATTATCTCCGAGTTTAAGATCGAAACTGTCAGAAAAAAGCAGCATTCCTACAGGCAGGAATTCGCAAAGGACAGCGTAGAATTGATCAAGGTGATTAGATCTGTCGAAAATTCATTTGATCTAATTTTGATGGGGAGATACCATGACAACTTATCACCAATGTTTAAGGGACTTGGCGAATGGAATGAGTCTCCAGAGCTGGGATTCATGGGAGACATCCTAACATCATCAGATTCCGAGTGTCAGGTTTCTTTGCTTGTGGTGCAACAACATGTGTATAGAACTCAAGACAGGATGAATAGTGCTAAAAACCTGTTGGAAGATTCAGCAGAAACCGTACAAAAAATTCATGAGCTTAACAAAGGGTGGAATGACAGAGAGAATAAACATAACATGCAGCATAACTAGATACTAAATATTTCTGTCTATGTAATTTAAGGCTATAAGAACATTTTATTTTGGAAAAAAATTCATGTTTTATATTTGCTAAATATCAGATAGGAATCTTTATCAAATTAATATTAGCTTCCTTTATTTTCCTTTCAATTTGAGTTGTTCTTTAAGGACTTATGTTCATGCACTTGTAGATTTGCTAAATTTTTCCCATCAGGACTCTGCAAGTCTGCATAATTGTTGTGCTTCTTTTAGCAATCAAATGTTCTAAAAATGGAAAAAGATCAGGTAAGAAGGCCTAGAATATAGCATGAGTACTTAGGTTTTATAAGCAACATATAACTAACATACTATAGTTGTCCTGATCTCTTCTACACCTGTCTAACGAAAGCTACGTCAACAGGATTCTGTTATTGATCGATACGATGCAAGAAATTAACAGCTACCACTTATAATCTAGCATTTTACGAAGTGAAAAATTTTTGTTTGATCTTATTAAGGAAACAGGAAACGAACTTCAATGATGAGACTAGCTATATGGAGGTGGCTGACTGACCTCTATAGAGATATATGTAAGGAAAAGGTTATCAGAAGTGTCAATTTCTCTATTTTCTTTTAACCGAATCATAGGTGTTTAATTGTGATGACTCCAATTATCCTGCCAATTGCTGTGATCCTTAGGACATCTTTGTGGTGTTCTACGAAGACTCTTCTGGCCTAACTTCAAAACCTGTACAATATTGCCAGATACCAAGTCCTGCTTAAATATCAAGAGATGTAGTTTAGCAGTAAGAAAATTGTCTTGGTTTAGTCAAGATCAAGGTCCAATTTCCATCGTCCATGGATAATTAGCCATAATCATCCCTCAGGGATACTAAATTTGGGCTGATTTTGCTTAAAAAGATAGTTTATAGTCGACTAAAGATTAAACATCAGGTTCATTAATGTTTTCTAGCATTGGTTTAACCCAATAAATAATGAAATTGGTCGACCAACGATTAAACATGAGATTAATTAATGTTTTTTGACATTGTTTTAACCCAAAAAATAATCAAATTAGTCTCGATTGATGCAAAAATTGGTTTGAGAATATTTCACTACCTGCAAACATCAAAAAAAAAAAAAAAGTCTTGCTTAAATAATTTTCCATATATTAAACCTATTGAAATGATTTTCCTCATTCTATTAATTTATCTGTGATACATGTAATGGATTACATGATCTCATATCACAAAACCCAAAAATTTAATCCACGAAAATCTGTCTGTGCCACCTTTTTTGTAGCTAACAAGTAGGTCAGACAACAGAGGATAAATTTTTTCCTCCTCTAGATCGAAGTGAAACATTTTTGACCAAGAAGCATATAGAAGAACTAAGTCAACTGAATCCTGATGGCCAAAGGTCTCAGGGTCCTTAAACTCAAGAGGCATTAATCCCACCCGCATAATTCTCCTGTCCATGTATTTCTCTGATCCTCACAAGCCCTTCACGTACACCCCTTTGGACACATGCATGCGTGCTTATCTTCCTTGCTCATTCCAATCCTTTCACACCCTCTTATCTTCTTTACAGGCAAGGCTATCTAGACAAAACAAGAGCCTGTTTCTATTGTATGATTAACAATGAATTCATCAGAACTTGAAAAAATTTGGGTGTGCCAAGAACCTACTAGTGTAAGATCAAAAGGGTTTTTTTATGGTGACAATCCACTTGAGCATGCAACTCCTACCGTTTTGGCGCAACTCAGCTTATCTTCTTTACTCAGTGCCTTAATACAATACATTCTCACCCCACTTGGTGAAAGTGCGTTCATTTCAATGCTGCTGGTAAGATTTTTTATTTTCTTGCGAAAAGAATCTAAAATTCTTCTTACTGCAATGCTGTTTCTTCTGGTAGATATAACTCAGTATAAGTCTTCAATATGATCAGGTAGGATTTGCCCTGGGACCAACTCTTTGGGGAGATCAAAATCCATTCTTGTCAAAAGTGTATTCCAAGAAGAGCATCCATGTCAGTGAAACATTTGCTTTCTTTGGATGCGTTCTTTATGTATTTTTGCTTGGAATAAAACTGGACCTGGGAATGGTGAAGAGAGCAGGTAGGAAACCTGTGGTTATCGGCTTCCTTACTTTCTTGTTTCCCGTAACATTGAACATAATCATGGCTACAATTCTAACCATAACTATGGAAATGGGACCAGCTCTACGTGATTCTCTTTATTTCATTGCGATTTTTCAATCTGTTACCACCTATCATGTCATTGTCTCCCTTTTGGCTGATCTGAAGCTCATAAACTCGGAGCTTGGCCAGTTAGCAATATCTTCATCGATGATCAGTGGCACGTGTAGTTGGGGACTGGCTCTCCTTGTTTTAATCATAGAGCCAAGCTCAGGTGAATCCAAAGGTGCGACTGCATGGATGGTAGTTTATGCTCTATTTCTGGCGATATTCATATTCTTCTTCTTAAGGCCCCTTGTGATTCGGATGATTGAAAAAACTTCGGAAGGAAAGCCAGTCAAACAGGGAGATATTTTCTCCATCTTTATCATGATATTAGGATGCGCTTTCGCTAGTGAATTTTTTGGGCACCATGTGATATTTGGGGCTGCCGCTTTGGGGGTGGCAGTACCGCATGGACCGCCATTAGGATCGGCATTAGTTAACAAGATGGAATCGTTTGTTTCTTCCGTTCTCTTGCCTAGCTATTTCGTGTTCAGCGTCGCAGGCGTTAACGTACTTTCGACACATTGCGAAGTGATTATCGTCGTCAGTATGTTTGGTGTAAGCAGCTTCGTTGGGAAAGTTTTGGGTGGCATGTTGCCTGCACTCTACTTCAAAATGCCTCCTGCTGAAGCATTTTCATTAGGCCTTGTAATGAGTGCTCAAGGAGTTTCTGATGTCCTACTCATACAGCATAGCAAATTCACTAACGTAATTAATGAACTTTCCTTATTTTCCCCTATTCTATTGAGTTTTATTCACATGAATTCCCTTACTTTGTATCAGTGATTGCCTCGTAATTTTGCAAGAAGTAACATACTTTCACTTTACTTGTGCAGCTTCTTGACAATCAAACATATAGTATAATGGTCATCAACATGCTTTTGCTGTCAGGAACCTTCACGCCTCTGATCAAATTACTCTACGATCCTTCCAGAGGCTACGAATCCTGCAAAAAAAGAACCATCCAACATACTAGTCTTAGCATGGAGTTTCGTGTTCTGGCCTGCATATATCACCAAGATTCCACCCCATGTCTCATTAGACTTCTTGAAATTTCCAATCCAACAGCCAAGAGTCCGATGTGCTGCTACGTAGTCCACCTGCTGCAGCTCGCAGGCAGTTTATCTCCACTCCTCGTGTATCACGAGCCTGGCAAGAATATTAAATTTGAGGCTAAGGATTCCAGTCATATAATAAATGCCTTCAGATTATACGAGCAACAAAACCATGGTAATGTCATTGTCAACTTATTCACATCCATATCGCCTTTCGCCACCATACACGATGAAGTTTGTAGGCTTGCCGCAGAGAAGAGAACATCCTTGGTGATTATCCCATTTCACAAGCAATGGAGGCTTCATGGCATAGAAGACATTGTAGAAGCCAGGTCTGTTAATCGTCACATTCTGGCAAAATCCCCATGCTCCATAGGGATCTTGGTCGATCGAGGCACGCTAAGTGCCTCAAAAAGCAATGATACCTGCAACATTGGAATCATCTTTGCTCATGGAAGAGATGATAGGGAGGCATTAGCCTACGGTTTGCGAATGGCCAAACACCCTAAAGTTGCTCTCACCGTGATCCATTTGATCGATCCTGACAGGACATCCAAGCCTTCTCTTGATACGGAGCTTGACAATGACATTATCTCCGAGTTTAAGATCGAAACTGTCAGAAAAAAGCAGCATTCCTACAGACAGGAATTCGCAAAGGACTGCGTAGAACTGATCAGGATGATTGGATCTGTGGAAAATTCATTTGATCTAATTTTGGTGGGCAGATACCATGAACCCTTCTCACCATTATTTGTGGGACTTAAGGAATGGAATGAGTTTCCTGAACTGGGATTCTTGGGAGACATGCTAACATCATCAGATTCCGAGTGTAAGGTTTCTGTGCTTGTGGTGCAACAACAAGTGTATAGAACAGAAGACAGGATGAATAGTGCTAAAAACCTGTTGGAAGATTCAGCGGAAACTTTACAGATAATTTGTGAGTCTAACAGAGGGTGGAAAGACATAGAGAACTTACACAAGAGGGAACATCTATAGCTAAATACTAAGTATTTCTGTCTATGTAATGTAAGGCTATAGGAATTAGGAACATTTCATTTTGTAAACAAATTCATGTTGTCCAGATTGGGTATCATTGCTCAATTTTTTACTTCGAGGACATAACTGTAAAAAAGTTTGGTTGCACCGAACAATTAGATGAAATTTAAGAAATAGCTTTTGATAATAAAAGAATGGTTAATCGCTCAATCTATCCTTATATAATTTATTATATCCTAATTGGGTATCATTGCTCAATTTTTTACTTCGAGGACATAACTGAAAAAAAGTTTGGTTGCACCAAACAATTAGATCGAATTCAAGAAATAGCTTTTGATAATAAAAGAATGATTGATGGTTCAATTTGTCCTTAGCATGTCCTTATATAATGAGATAATTATTTAATTTATTAAAAATATCTTAAGTTTCTAATCTATTGTTCTTATAAGATTTTCAAGCCAAGCTATTAAAATTAATCACTTGATTTGCAAATGATTATTTTTATTTCTTAAATGCATGCCCTTACAAACAAGACCAATGGAAGATCTTTATGTATAAATTATGTGATTAATTCTAATAATTTGGTCTAAAAAAATTGTTAGAATGATAAATTAGGAACTTAATATTTATTTAAAAATAAAATTAGCTGAATTAAAAATATAAAAATAGATTAAAGAATTACCTTAAAGACAAATTAAACTAAGTAATAACCCATAAAACAATGATGAAAATAAAAGTGGAATAAGTACATAATCTATTGAACAAAAATCAATGAAGGCTTGTGGCCTAAACATAATCTATTGTAAATGTTGTGGAGCATAGGAAACGGATGTGCAAGTATTGTCTAATAATATTTATGGAGAGTGGGAAGAGGGAATCCATGTGAGGACTGAGTTATACGATGTACCATTTTAGGGGATTTGCCAGCTTGTTTTCCTTTATTTTTATGTGGCTTGGAGTTGTCACTATTTGAGTACTTTTAGATTCATATGCAATAACTATTAATAATACTAGGAGTTGGAGCTTTTGTTCTCCATCTAACACACCTAATGTTGTCTTCTCTTTCTTGCTTTTTTTTTTTTTTTTTTTTTTTTTTTTTTTTGAATAGAAATTTTCAGCAAAAATCCGAAAAATTTGAAACATCTATGAGTTTTTTTTTTTTTTTTTTTTTGAATCTTAGAGACTTAATGATGAAATATTTTTTGTAACTTACAATTGATTCTTTATGAACTTCATTTGAATATAATTAAGAGAATTACTCTCTCTATAAATTTAATTAATTTGGAAACAATACATTATTCATTGAAAATTATTGACTTAATTATAGAATTCCTAGTGGATTTACTAGTAATCATTATCCTTGAGATGCAATCTATTGGCTTTAACATTTATTTTTAGAAATAATTGTTGCCAATATTCCCTCTATTAGTTGCCTATAAATGCCTTACCCATATTGAAGATAGGATTGATCATATTTGAAGCGAAAACGATAAGATTTAAGTTTTTTAATAAGTATAATTCTAAAATTTAAATTTTACACATGATAAAAAATTCGTTTAGAAATCAATTCGTTTCCATTAAACCAACAACTTGGTTATAAATGCCTTACATGAACTAAGGCATTTTGACCCCATTAAAATCATAATTTATTCAATATTATGGTCTCCACTATCTTATGCATCAATGCCAAGTAAATATATGTACCAAATTCAAATAATCACAACTGGTCTCCACTCTAAGCGGCATGCCACTTAATTTTTTCAATTAATATATACAAAACCCTTGAATTCTTCCATGATAATTGCTTTCTTAGTTGTACAATTAAAGTCAATTTTATGTCACATACAATAGGACAAATACTAATGTGAAACTAATGGACAAATATTCATATGTTAATCATTGAAGTGGTTGTAACCTTTCATGTTAATCATTGAGGAAGTGATAATCATAACCTTAAATTAACATGTTGACATTGAACCAATACCTAATTAAGTCAATATTAAACAAGATTAATGAACAATTATGGGTGTTTTGGATCATAAGTTACAAGAAAATAATCATTTTCATGTTGCTTTTAAAATGGATATTCACGACAAGCATATATCAATTCTAAATTTTAGATTTGTGATCCACAAGAAAGGGTGAGCAATGGATTTAAATTCCTATGAACTTCTAAAATTTGAACCATTTCCCTTTTGCATATATATATTTTTTTTCATTTCAAACACAAAATTAAAGGAACATGAAAAAAAAATTAGCTAGGAATAAACAAAAGAAATTAAAAGTTTACAAATATCCCACCAAGTTATTTCAGATCATTAAAAAAAAAAAAACATTGAGAATTTAAGAAACATGTATTTTTTTTTAATGCTAATTAAGAAACATCAATTTACTTGGAACTGGTGGGTGTAAATACGAAATATTCCATCAAACAGAAACATTTTTTTACTCTCTTCATCAAATAATTTACTTGAAGATCGAAGCAAATGGATCAGGATCCGATGAATATTAAAAAAAAAAAAAATCCCCAATCTGCCACTATTAGACGCAGATTGAAAAAAGAAAATTAAAATCAAAATATAAATTTTATACACAAAAAAGAAAACCAATATAACCCCACGTACATTAAAAAAAAACGTCCCCATTGCAAATAATTGTGCTCCTTTGTCTACCATGGAGAACGTCAAAATCCGGCACCGGAAAAAACTTGTTAGTCCTCGGAGATGCTTTGTAAATGAGGCCGCCATACTCCGACACGACCAGTCCGGCGATCACGACGAGAGGATTTCTTTTCGGAGACTATATCGGTTAAGTAACGATCACAATCTTGTAAATCTTTATTGCTACTGTAGTTTTTGCTCTTCTTTGATGAAGTCTTGATCTTTTGGCTACACTTACTGCCACTTTTTTCTTCTCACCAGGCAATGAAGAAGAGGGAATCAAGAAATATATGCTGCCTCTTTTGAGCTCGGATTCCGGCGAAAGAATCAAAATTTTTCGAACAACACCTTGAGAAGAAGGTTTGCTAAGAACATGATTAGGGTTTGCCTGAAGGACCTCAGCAGCTGTGATTGGACCTGTTATTTCTTCTACGTAGCCATTCAAATGAACTATACGGATCAAGTCTAGGGCTCCACATGGAAGAATACAAGCCAAACAACACCTTAAGCTATTGCCCATTTCTATGGAAAATGATCCGACTCTCTTTTCTTTTTCTTTTCTTGCTTTGTGGTGTGGAGTTTGGAGCTCTTACTTTCTTTTTTCTTTGTGACTCAGATCTTTTCTTCTTTCTTTGGTAAGAATGGGATCAAGGGGGACAGGGTTTTATAGGAACAAAGAACAAAGTAGAATTTGCATTATTTTATTTTGGATCAAAAATGGCAAAAGTGACCTCACAAGAGTGACATTAATTAATTAATCTATTTCGTTAATCAATTTATTTAGAGTTCCAATAGTCAAGTCCTTTCTTCTATATGTTAATTATGTGATGATTAACTTAAGCCGGCCTCGTGATCTTTAGGCGTGTAGATTAGTTAAGCTTTCATTAATTACTCGTTAATTATATCTTTAAATCAGTTTTTGCCACATAGCATTTTTGCTATATATAATTAGTGACAGATTAGAGACAATATAAATTATATCATTAATATGGTAGTTTCTATCATAATAGGGAGTTTTTTATATTTACAAAAAATCACAGGTTCAAATTCTCTTTTTGAAATTATAGTAGTAGTTAATTTAATCTGTCGTGATAATATAATTTCTTCTTTATTCTACTAACTACTAATTATTTATGATAATTTTTTAATACCTAACAATTGACGTGAGTTACAGAACCTGTTAACTACTAATGCTAATTTTTTAACATCTGATCATTAATATGGGCTGTAGGGTTTGTTAACTATCAACATTAACCTTTTAATGCTGAAAAACTGAACCCAACAACTAATGAAATGTAAGATTTATTTATTATTAACTACTAATGTTAATTTTTCACCGTTTAACAATAACAATTGATGTTTACTACAAGATTTTATCTACTGAAGTGTATATATATATTCTGAAAGTTGATATATATATGTTATAGGTGTGGTGGGAGTCATAAATTATGAAAATATGAAATGCTGATTGGCACCTTGACCATGCATGGAACTGTAATTATTGCTCCATATTTAGTTAAATCTGACACAAAACTTCGTAAATGGTGATGAACAAAATAATAAATTAACTAATTGGGATGAATTTGTTTAGAGTATATATAGATTCTGTACCTATTTTCAAGCTACGTGATCATGGCAATTGGGATTCACGCTTTTTGTTTGTATCGATATTCGTGTCCATTAAAAATGTGTCGAAAATCATGTTTTAATTAATTAACTTCAAATTTTCAATAATCACTTTGCCTTTTTTCATAAGTGATTATGAATTTTCTATTTAAAATAACATTTGCTGTATAATTATTTCTATATATATCATGTTGAGTTTAGATTTTTCAAAAAATTATATATTTTTTAATTAATAATGTTTAATTATATTTTTTTATTATCCATTATACATAATAATTAAATTTTAGCTAATGTTTATAATCATTTTTTTAATTATTTTTTTAATTGGGTGGTTTAAGAGTATCACAAATAAAATGCAAAGGAGGACATTTTTGGCAAAAGAATATATAGAACTTGTAGCATTAATGATTTACCAATCATCGGGCAAGAACAAATACAATATTTTCTTTTTTATTAATTAATAATTTATTTATTTTTGAGAAGTGAGAATACAGTATTTTTCAGATAGTAGGTCCCACAACATGAGCCGATAACTAGTTATCGCGAATATAGGCATGAGATGTGAAGGAATAAAACTTAGGGACATTAATAGAAATTAAATAATCAACGGCTTAAAACTGAAAATCAATTGATTGGGTACGGAATGACAATGAAAGAGTACATGTTACATTCTTGGGAGTGTTTGATAACCTAGCCTATTGTTGAATAAAATAACATAAACTATATGAATTGCCATCCCTATAGATTTAACCATAATCCATGTTGATTTTTGCAATTTAAAATTTTTAATTACCAATCATAAAGTTTCACAAATTTTCATTTTTTGACCCAATTCTTGATAGTATTGCGAGTTATGTCTCTTTAAGGTTTTTTGATCGAAATGCAAGAAAATTCCATTCAATTCTCAATAAAAACAGAGTTTTACCATTTTTTTTTTCTAAAAATGAAAGTGTTTGTTAAGTTTTTAAAATATGTCAACTTTTGGAATTATTGTTTAATTTCTTGAGTGTTGTATTCGATAATATTACATGTATAAGAATTTAAAAAGAAATTTAAAGTTAAGAAAAGAACATAAAAATGTGAAAAATATGGAAAAATGAATGGTTTTTAGATTTTGTTAAAAAATTATAAAATTGAATGAATTTTTATTTGATATTTTTTTATATATGATAATATATAATACGGAACATTAAAATAAAATAATTTTATGTATTCTATCCAATCCGCAATGCAATGCTGATATAAAAGCTAGTTAAAAACTATAATTAAATGATAAAAAAGCTGTGCTTTATCAGTTTAAAGATATAGAATGAAACGTATGTTTTATCATATTGTATTTATAAATAAATTATGGTTTTAACTAATTATATATAAAAAAAATTGAAAAAGATATGTTTATCTAATAAACAATTGTTACATGATTTTTTAAAAATAATAATTTAAAAAAATTATTTATCAAATAATTTTATTTTTTAAAAATAATAGCTATTTTCTTTCAGTATATTCTCTATTTGGATTTATCACGGGTTCATTTATTATTCATTTAATTACACTTTTTCCATTAATTCCATCCATTAAAGTAAATGTTTTCCTTTTCACCAAAACGAAGGAAAATATATGAATTTTAAAAACGTACTGGCAGGAGGTATAGCTGCATTGCGTGTGACATTAATTATTTTGTTTTGTCTTCACATCTCTAAGCTAATCACAAAAGTCTAGCTGTCTTCAATACATTTTTTTTTCCTCTTTATAAAAAGTCAAAAACATGGAGAACAATTTTTCCCTCTGTCAGGGATTAAACTTTGTTTAAGGAAAAAAAAAATAAATGTGCAGCAAACTGAAATAAACAGAGGCAGCTGTCTTTATGAGACTAAAAATAAAAAAAAATGATTAATTCATTTGCGCGTAGTAGAAATAATAAAATTATTACAATTTTTTTTTTTTGGGCACCCTGGATTGCAGTCTGTCTTTGTTAATTAGAATCTTGCAGTCTGTGAACTGATCCTTTGACAAATTGTTAATTATTTCTACCATTAAATTAAAGAAAGAATCAAAAAGCCGCATTAAATAATAAACTAAGTTAATTCTTAGAAAAAACAAACTCCTAAGATCTTTGACCCTCAAGTAATTCTACCAAAATAAATTGTGAGAATATCCAGGGGTAATTTTGAATACTGATACTAATTTTTTTCGATTAAATTATAAATTAGTCTTTTGAGTTTTGAAGAAACAAATTAATTATTTATTTTTATTTTAAAAATTAATTAATTATTTTTTTAATGAGTGTTGAGTATATTTTTTACTGAATTTTTTTATTTTTCTATTTTTTAAAATAAATTGAAAAGAAAAAAATAATTAAGTTACAAAATAATTTTAAAATACAAAAACTAAATAATTTTGAATAACAGAAACCTAATTAATTAATTTCTCGAAACTAGGGGACTAACTTATAATTTATTCAATTTTTTTATAATCGATTATTAAATTTAAGAATTCTAACATGTAATTAGTTTTTGGTTCAAATAAGTTGATGAAGGTTTAGAAAATGGAACTCTGAAATTATAAAGAAATTACAACGCTAATCCTTATAGAATTCATATACATTGGAAGATTATTTAATAATTACTGGAGGTTAATCGATCCGAAAATGGATAACAAACCACCCACGTAAACAATTTAGTTTTACTAAATTAAGTAGTGATTAGCTCTTAATTAAGGATTTTGGCTGCTTGTGTGGACAAACTTATCCAATGAGGTGGCCTTATTTCGTACGTTAGCTAAGGAAGCTTCGTGCCATGGAGGTTTCAGGCACCGACCATAAAACCTAATTAAGGTTTCCATTAACAGACAATAAGAGAATGCACGAGGCATGCCCTACTACAAGATTCTTAATGTAAGATTTAATCCATAATTAAACAGAAGCAAAGGGGAACTATCCCATTATTGAAGAACGTGGGTCAAGCCTGTCTTTACACTAAAGCCAAGGTGGAAACCCTAATTAATTAGTCTGATAAGTTGGTGGATAATCATCTTTGGTACAATAAGTTGGTGGTTAATCATCTTTGGTACAAGACTTTGCTTGATCGAGATTATTAGAATTAGATAGTTAAGATTTGTTTTGTCTAAAAAACTTAATTCTTATAATGGATGATCTATTCTTAATTTTATATATTGTTTTTTTTTTTAATTGTGTTTTAGAATTTTTATTGAATCATTGAATTTTTTTTTAACTTTTGATGCCATGTTAGAATTTAAATAGTTGAGATTATATTTCATCTAAAAAATTTAAATCTTGTTGTAGACATTCTCAATTTTAGATATTATTTCATTTATTTAATGTGAAATAGGTTTTTCTAATAGAAATTAATGCATTTTTCTAGTCGTATGACAAGTGTAATTATGAGAATAATATTTTAACCTTAATAATTAAGATGGGAAAAAACCTCCATTGACCATCTCATCAAACCAACCTCATTCATTTTTTGCCAACTTGTATTTCTATTACAACAATTAATAGAGTAATCTTTTGGTTACAAATTATGGGTGTCCATAAGGTTTAATTGTACTAAATCCAAAACTATAAACTTTATTTTCTTTCATTAATTATTGTCCTTTAATTGAATTCAAAACTTCTCTTATCGAAATTAAGATTAGAAGAAACATCTTTTTTTTTTTTTTTTTCATTTCAAATGTAACAATAGGTCAAAAGAGTTTTGTACTACAAATTAAAAGTTAGGATCAATACTCTCATCTATCTTTATAGAATAGGCTACATTTTCAATCTATTTCTAAATCTAAAAATGCCTCCAGTCTTTATTTATTATTTGAGTCGGCTTCTAATCTATTCCTCTAGTTAAAATTTCGAACAAGTTATTAAAAATTAATATTCATATA